TTGATATCATCCCTTTTACCACTAGACACACTGGAGAAAATATTACAAGGGAGATTATACGCATATTAGATGAATTCAATATTTCTAGTAAAATAATTGCACTAACTACAGATAATGAATCTGCAATGGTTGTATGTGGAAGAAAACTTGCTGAATCCCTTGATAGTCAATTTTCTTCAATGACTTTTGCACATTATCATTGTGCAGCACATGTTTTAAACTTAGGTGTTAAGCAAGGATTAGAACTAGTTAGTGATACAATTAATAAAGTACGTGAATTAATGAATAAAATTAAAATTTCAACTCTCCTCTGTGATCAACTTCGTGGCTTTTGTACTTTAAAACATATCCATGATTATAAACCAGTTTTGGATGTGGAGACCTGCTGGAACTCAACTTACTATATGTTAAAATGTTTGGAACAACTTGAACCAGCATTGGTTTTACTTGCTGCTGATAATAACAACATCAAGAATCTTTGTCCTAATAGAAATGATTGGATTATAATTAAGGTAAATTGATATTAGTAATTTTACCACAAAATGAATTATAAATAAATTTGTGTTACAACGGATTTTAAGCTTCACATATGAAAACATTGAAACTAATATCCAATATTCTCATCATACCCTATAGAATACTCTCTCACTTCTTGAAATCTTTGAACAAGCCACAAACCACCTTTCAGCATCATCGTATCCAACTATGGGTGATGTTCATCTTATCTTTAAAAGCATCCAGGTGTATCTGCAAAAAGAAATAGGAAAAGAAGGCTTCACACAGAGTGAAATGGCAGCATCAATATTTCAAAAAATTGAAGAGTATTGGCAAATTATGAATAGTTCTTCAATTGCTTCAGCAGTTTTAGACCCTTGAACCAACTCTCAGTCTTTCAGAAGGAAATAGACAAAATGCTTGTGAACATATTCAAGCAATTTTTGAAACTTACCAGAATTCTTCCAATACACAATCTCCTGCAAGAAGGTTATCATCATCTACATTTACCACAAATGCAACTCGTAGACTTTTCACACAACTTCTTCGTAACCCAACACCACAAATTGCTTCAGCACCTTTAATATCAGAATTAAATCGTTATCTTGCATTACCAATAGATGAAGAAACAGAACCTCTATTATGGTGGCAGGCACATGCCAAAGAATACCCAATTGTAAGTAATATGGCGCAAGATTATCTTACCATTCAAGCAACTAGTGTTGCATCAGAACAGGCATTCTCAGTTGCTGGAAATACAATTAGTAAAACTCGAAATCGTTTGTTGCCAGAAACTGCAAGAGCATGTTTATGTATGAAAAGCTGGATTATTAATAAAATAGGAGATTATTAAAATACAAATTTTTTATACTTATATAGGATAGATATATAATATTATTCTTATCATTTATATTTAACGATATTTTTAGGGAATTGTTAATCGCACCCCCCATTTTTGTTAATCGCACCCCCACGTGACTAAGAACAAAGATAAGCCAATAAAAACGTCACACATTTTAATTCAAAAAAACATTACTAAAAAAAAAATTATTTTTACAAATTTATTTAACACAGTAGGACATGTTCGGCTATTATGACCAGTTTGACGACATATACCACATTGCCTTGGCCTTCTTTCAACAAGCTCAAATGCAGATGGATCTCTCTGCATTGATCCTTCGCTTTGGTTTCTTGCTCCAACTGGTCTTCCTCGTGGCCTACTAACTTCAGGGTTTCCAAGTACATCAGGAGGAGCAGAAGACAATTCTTCCAACTGGGTACAAGCAGCAGCTTGTTGGTGTGGTGGCCAGAATTGGTATTGTTGTGCAAAAGATTGTAAAAGAAGCTGAAGATTAGCGTGGTCACCATTGGCAGGACGTGTAAGATCACCTAAGAATTCAAAATGGCGACCTTTGATCCACCAGTGTTCATACACAGTAGGACATGTTCGGCTATTATGACCAGTTTGACAACATATACCACATTGCCTTGGCCTTCTTTCAACAAGTTCAAATGCAGATGGATCTCTCTGCATTGATCCTTCACTTTGGTTTCTTGCTCCAACTGGTCTTCCTCGTGGCCTACTAACTTCAGGGTTTCCAAGTACATCAGGAGGAGCAGAAGACAATTCTTCCAACTGGGTACAAGCAGCAGCTTGTTGGTGTGGTGGCCAGAATTGGTATTGTTGTGCAAAAGATTGTAAAAGAAGCTGAAGATTAGCGTGGTCACCATTGGCAGGACGTGTAAGATCACCTAAGAATTCAAAATGGCGACCTTTGATCCACCAGTGTTCATGGATATCAGTTTGCTGCAATGTTTGGCCGTTTGCTATACGTTCACTGATGAGATGTGAACATGGAAGACCCATCGTGGAGCTAAGGATCCCTGAGCAAGGATTCAAGGGAGAATCTAGTGTTGCATTTGATGCCTTGATCCACTCGTCACGGATCTTTTTCAAGGCAAAAACAGATACACGACTCAAGAGAGGTTCAAACAGAGCTATACGGTACACATGTTGTACTTTTAGACGTTCAGAAGAGATCATTGCACGGATTTCCTTTGCTTGAGACTCTACTTGCAATATGATCTTACGATGTACTGACTCAAGATCACCTCTGGATGACTGCAAATACTTTTTAAGAGTAGCATGTGCACCTTCTACTCGTGAAGTTGCTTTGTTACCAAGATGCAAGTAACGATCAACCCAGGCAGAAATGAAGCATTCTTTATGTAGGATCCAGGTTTCTTGAAGATACTGCAGGATGTTGGGCTTACTCGCATAGCATTCTAAAAATTCCTTCCATTTGGTTGTGAAGTCTTGTTCAGTGATAGATGCTGTAACTGCCTTCCACAATTCAATGAACTCGGTCCAATCTCCTTCTGTAGCAAAGTGACGTTTACATTTAGCTAAAATGTTCTTGTTTATGTGCCAAATACATAGAAGATGATGAGCACCAGGAAAGATTCTACCAATGGCATTCATCAGTGCTAATTCTCGATCAGTGACAATGACTTTAGGATGAGACATTCCATTAAAGATCTTTGAAATGCAAGTCAAGGCCCATTCATAATCTGCTTCTTTTTCATCTTTCAGGAAGGCAAAGCAGGAAAAGAATGTTGTGTTAAAGCTTGTCATTCCAACAACATTTAGAAGAGGCATACGATATCTGTTTGTTTTGTATGTACAAACCAAAAGTAATACAACAGGATAGGTACAAGTCAAGGCAATGGATATCCTGTGTGCAAAAAAAAGGTGTGTGATGTGATTTTGATGGTCACGTTGATAATCAAATTCGAAGTCAGATTCTTGTAATTTGTCAAAAAGAGCTTGAATTGGTGTACGACCATCAAGTCTTTCTTCACGAATGGAATGCAAAGTATTGTAGATTGTTCTAGATGTGGCCATAGAAGAAAGATCACTCTGATGAATGGTTGACAAAATTTCACGAGGATGGGATCCAGCGGCAGACATTTGCTGAACTAGCTCTCGTTGCTCAGTGTTCAACCTGCGAGTGATTGGATGACCAGACATATCCTCTGATGCTTCGTGATTATGCTCAGAATTGCAAACCTCAAGAAACCAAACACCATTGCGTCTGGTCCCATGGAGCTCAAATGGACAATCCAAAAGTCTTGATGCTGTCTGCCTACGACGTAAATCATCTGTCAGGTTCAAACTATTTCTATAAGAGCCACCTCTGTCACAACGCAATGTCACATTCTTGACTTTGCCATTTACATCAGTTCGAGTTCTTTTTATGGTTACAGCATATCCTTGAGTTAAAACAAAGGCTCGAACATGAGCAAGGAGTTCATCATAACTTGAAAATTGGTCAATTGGAGGTGGAAGCATATTACGAATTTTTATTGAAACAAAATGCAAAGTACAAAAATGCAAAGTACAAAAATACAAAGTTGATTTCTTCGAGTTTTTAAATGAATCAAACAGTCAAGCCATTTGCTGTGCGATTTATTTGGTCAAGCCGTTTACTAATTGATTTATTTGGTCAAGCCGTTTGCTAAACAATTTATTTGGTCAAGCCGTTTATTAAGTGATTTATTTGATCAAGCCATTTGCTAAACAATTTATTTGGTCAAGCCATTTACTAATCGATTTATTTGATCAAGCCGTTTGTTAAACAATTTATTTGGTCAAGCCGTTTGCTAAACAATTTATTTGGTCAAGCCGTTTACTAATCGATTTATTTGATCAAGCCGTTTGCTAAACGATTTATTTGGTCAAGCCATTTGCTAAACAATTTATTTGGTCAAGCCATTCATTGGTCACATTACTACACTTAGTCACGTGGGGGTGCGAATAACAAAAATGGGGGGTGCGATTAACAATTCCCTATTAATATCAAGAAATCTGTTAAAAATTCGAATAAATATCATATCAAGAAGAGTATTCATTAAATGGAGGCACACTAATTGAGATTCATTGTGTAATATAAGTTTAAATTATCAAATTAAAAATATAAATTTAATATGATGTTAAAAATTTTTTAGGAATCTGGTTTGATTCGAATCAATTCAAATCAAGTCATGGATCAAATCCTGTTTTTTTGAATTCAAATCGACTACAGATCGAATAGAATCGAATCGAATCACTCTCAAATTCGATTTGATTCAATTCATTCGGAGCCTTATCCTCAAGTCATGCAAAAGTTGCAGATAATGCTTTAAATGTAAACAATATGAATTTAAATCCTGGTGTAAATGAAAAAAAAACCTAAAATGCAAGATACAATCTTTGATGATGACTTTCCATGATCCCAAATTATGTGAAAAACCCAAAGGAATAAAATTGATTATATTTGAAACTTTAGGTTTAGTTAAAAAATTTTTTGTAATCTTTGAACTTCCTGAGCAGCTTTAGTAAAAGTGCTACTTGGACCATACTTATCATAATAAATGGACCTTGGTGTCTTGCCTTTCATATACTTACCCTTTTTCTTCTTTTCCAATTTGTCCATATTAGCTCCAATGGTTTATCAAATAAATTTTCAAAAATTCTTTGTTCTTGTCCCCATTTCGTCTTCTTCTTCCTGAACACTGTCATCACCCCACTCTCCATTATTATCAATATCATGTAATTTATCTGATTCTTCATCAATTATATTTTTAGTATTAGATCTTTTTCTTGTTTCATCCTCATACTCATCTTCATTTTTTGTGCATTTTCTATGGATGTTAAGCACAGAAAATGCATGGGAAACACACAGGAAAATGTACATTTTGAGGCATTTTCCAAAAATTCCATAATTTTTGATCATTTGTCAGAGAAAAAGTTTGTTATCAAATCTGACAAAGACTGGCAGAAATGATAATAACACATCAACTAAATACCTAAAAATGATATATAAAGTTCTGGTTATACACTTTTACAGAAAGAACAAATGCTTATTTATTTATATAAAAAATTGAAATTTGGTTTATGATGGCAATTAGATCTTTTACAATAATAATAATAATCAAAATCATCAAAATCACAAACTTATGTCAATTTATTGATCTGAATTATTTTTAGAGAGATTTACACTTTTTTCATAATATTGATTTGGATGAACAATTGGTTCCTTTGTTGCCTCTTCAACTCCATCATCAGTGGTTCCTCCTGTTCCTTTAATAACTTCAAAATATTTGGTACAGGCTATATTATAATGCCTATCTTTTGCTAATTCCATGATTTTTTTCAGGTTGTTTTCATCTCTTATTCCATTTTCTATCAATGTTGCTTTCAAATTAGATTCATAGAAATGTCGAAAGGGACAACCATGATGTTCATTAGGTCCAGGCACATTGTTCCTAACTATAGACATACAACTTTACAAATAACAACAATGATGATAATGTTTAAGTGAATGATAGATTATTAAAATAAAACAAAAATAATTTAATTTTACCTATATGGTGCATAGTCACGACGACTTCCTTCTAAGCCATAATCATGTCTAATATTATATGAATATTCTTTTTGAAATTTATCAGCTGTGAATTTTGAAAATGATTTTTTCCAAAAATTAAGTGATTCTTCAACAGGTAATCCAATTCCCTAATATTTTTTTAAAATGATAAATGATAAAATAAATATTTTTGTTTGGTTTACAAAAGATAAATGAATAAATTATTAACCTTAAGAAATAAATTTAATTGTCTTCTTCCATTATGCTTCAAATGCTTGTCCTCACAAAGTTTTTTATATAAATATTGCATGCATAAAGGAAAATGACCCACCACCTAAATATATAAGGGATTTATTATTTTAAAAAATTGAATTTTGAAAAAAAACCCAATTTTTTTATTCACCTGATTCACATCATTAGCTGTTATTTTTCCAGTGACAACATTCATACCAGTATATGAATTGCCAATATATTGTTCATTTAATTTATTTAATAAAGGCAAAATCCTCTCATCTTCTAAATTAATAAAAGCTCTACTTGTTTGCTAAAATATAAAAAATACAATTATAGTTAGTCTATATTATATATAATATATATATATATTATAATATCAATGTTTACTTCTAAAGCTGCACCAAGATGTTTGCGAAACTCGGAAACCACAAGTCCACTTTGCTCACATGATGGAGCATAAGCCATACCATATTTTAAATAAACTGTACGTCTTGTAACAAGATCCAATACTTTTCTAAAATCTGTCTGATGAAAAAGATTATAATAAAAAAGTCATTGTAAATATTATCTTTAAAAAATATGTATTTTTAAAAAAAATATATGAATGTGTGAATATCTTACTTGAAAAAATTCCTCTTTATTAAAATCAACAGTAGGATATGTATTCATCAATTCATTTTTAAGTTCTTCTTTTTCACTTTGACTTAACTTATTGAGAAAGACAATTGTTATTGTTGTTGTCATTGTTGTTATTGTTATTATTATTATATTATATCAATCAATTAATTAATAATGAGCTTACATATTTTAATCCAAAGTTATGTTCCTTTAAAAAGGCTAATTTTTCTATTTTTTTTTCATTAAGATATTTAATTCTATTATATGTAATATTTTTTGAATATTATATAAAAAATAAAAAATAGATTATTAATGACAAAATTTATCTAATTAATTAATATTACCTAAATAATTCAGTTTCATATTTTAAAAACCAATGTCTTAAATCTGCACTAAAAAATAATTTTAATTCATTATATTTATTGATTAGAAAAATAAAAATAATAGTAATAATAATAATAGATTATACGTTCTACAATGTGCCAATCTTAAAATAAAATGTGATAAGTGATCTTTTCTCCTTTCATCTTGAACTGGATAGCTTTTTGATGAATCATTTGAATGCAAGGGAAGATGTAGTTTAGAAACTTCTTCAACAAGTTTTATAGTTTGTTCATCAGTTTTATCACGTAAATTTGCTCCCTCAATTGCCTTCAACACTATATGTGTACATATTTATCATGTAATTTTGTAATATAATATTGAATTTTGTTAGAAAATCAAATAAAATACCTTGCAATCTATCTAATGCAAACAAATTAAATTCCTCAAGTGTAATTTCTTCATCTGGCAAATAATTATAAAAGTTTAAACAGCGTGGATACCAAATTTTGTGTCTTTTAACTGCTCCATCACTTTCTTGTTCTTTAATAATAATATTTTTTTTCTCAGGTTTAAACATTGTTTTTTTCTTTGGATATATAAATTAAATTCCAAAATATATTATACGCGAAAAAAATACACGTATTAGTGTCAATGGTTTCACAGCAATTCAAAATCGCATATTTTGAATTGATCTTTGCAATTCAGCAATTTGTAATTGCTAAAATAAATACGAATAAACTGCTTAAATATTAACCACAAATAAAAATTTTCTTGTAATAATATTATAAAAAAATGGCTGAAGTTGAATAATTTGCATTTCAAGCCGAGATTTCTCAGCTTATGTATAAATACTTTTTATTCAAATAAAAAGTAAAAACATCTTTCTGTCATTAATGTTGCAAAAAAATATATATTTAAGAAAGATAATATTTGTATTAACCAATTCATTTGATGCTTTGGATAAAATTCATCACAGATCCTCTAAAATTGGACACTGAACGTGACCTTTATATAAACATAATTCCTGACAAAGAAAACTTACTATTAGAGATACTGATATTGGTATTATAAAGGATATATTTCAAAACAATTAAAAAATTTTTTGTAGATGTCTTTGCAAAGTTATTTATTATAGTCATCATTATTTAGACAGATCTTGTAAATAACCTTGGTGCAATTGCTTGATCAGGTACTAAAACATTCATGGAGGCTCCTCAATCTGGAGCTGATATATCTATGATTGATGGGTTTCTACTCTGTTTATTTGGTTGCTGATTGAGTTCAGGTCATCACCAAACATAATTATAACGAACAATATATTTGGGGATCTGCTGCTGGTGGTTCATTCACCATTACATGTGATACAACCAATCCACCTCTTAGACATGAATCAGAATCAAACTCTTTCTTAAAGATTAACTTGAATATATTGAAGGAAAAAAAAACATAAAAAATTGTTAAGAAACATTCTGAGTTCATTAGTTATCCATTCAACTTGTTGTTGAAAAAGAAGTTGTTAAAAAAGAAACTGAAGAGGATGAAGGTGAAGAGAAAAAAAAGAAAGAGTTATCTAAAGAAACTGAAGAGTTTAACAAAACCAAACCAATTTGAACTCATAATCCTGATAATATTAAAAATGAAGAATATATATGCTGTTTTCTATAAATCACTTATAATGATTAGGAGAATCATTTAGCTGTTAAACATTTCTTGGTTGAAGGTTGAAGGACAAATCAAATTCCATGCAATTCTTTTTATACCAAAACGTGTACCTTTGATTTGCTTGAAACCAAAAAGAAGTGTAACAGCATTAAGCTTTACGTAAGAGGTGTATTTATTATGAATGACTGTGATGACTTAATACCAGAATATCTTAGTTTTGTTAAGGGCATAGTAAATTCTGAAGATTTACCTCTTAATATTCTCTTGAAACACTTCAGCAAAATAAAATCTTGAAGGTTATTAAAAAAATATTGTCTAGAATTGATCAATGAAATAGCAGAAGATAAAGAAAACTTTATGGAGCATTTGCTAAAAATCTTAAACTTGGTGTTCATGAGGATTCATAAAATCAGCAGAATTCCTTCATTATTATTCTACAAAATCTGGTGAATAATTAACATCATTGAAAGTAAGTTTGCCCTCCATGATCAAATATCAAATGTTGCAATGTACCCACAACTTTACATATTACATATGTACATAAAAACTATGTATACATAATGTTGCAACATAATCATGATGCAGTTACAGTCTCTGGCAAAAGTAATGGTGGTGATAATTTTTTTAAAAACTAAAAATTTTTAGTAAGCAACTATCAATAAAATTTTATTTTTAAAACGCCTCTAAGTAAAACATTATGCTTTTAAAAGCTTATAGTATAAA